TTGTGTTTGGAAGGCAGGTGTGGCACCACTGAACTAAATCTCCAGCTCTTCATTGATTTTTAAGGTAGTCTCTGGCCTTAGAGTTCCAGTACATGGTGGAATTTAACGTCCACATTCATGCATAGTGCAGAATTAGATTCCAGTTTCTCAGATTTCACCCATGATGCAGGGCAGGTAGCAGCCCAAACCTGATTCCCAGGCCAGAGGGTGGAACATTATCTCCCAGTATCCACCATAGCCTCCCATGTGGCAACAAACACTGACTCTCCACAGCCGCGACTGCTTCCCTGTGTGGGGGATAAACCATGGGCCCCTCAGGCAGCTTTCCAGTTTTGTGGCCACTCAGGCCTCCAGAACTTCAAGTCCTTCACTCTCTTGCCATGAGTTCCTTCTCGTTTCTCTGCCTGGAGTTTCTTTAACTAAAGTTAGATAAGCCATTTTTGTTATATTTTTATCAAACACAGCTGTCTGAAAGAAGCTTTGAGATTTCATTCAAGTATTTTGCTCTCTGAAAGTTTCCAAAGTGTCTTTTCTTTTCCAATTATCCTCACTGTACACAAACTTCCCACACTTGGGGCAGAAGCAGAAATTGCTTCAGAGACAGAGGCCACAGTCTTCCCAAGAGTAGGAATTGTAGTGTACACTTCTTCCAAAATAGAAAAGAACCCTATCTCACTGACAGAAAAAAAAAAATTTGTGCATTCCTAAACCAAAGAACGTAGACTCAGAGAAGAGCTCTTTCAACAAGTCACAACCTGAAAAGGAAAGAAGCCAGTTACAGGACTGCCTATAAAAGGGGGGAGGGGCACCCAAACACAGGCAAATATATTTCTTAATTTTTATTTTTATCAGTACTCGTTTGCTATACATAATAACTACATTAACTGTGGGAGTTGGTACAGGGCATGTCACTCCGTGTCATTCTTTTATGTCCCCTTCCCCTTTTCTCTCTCCCTATCCCTGCATCTCTTGGTCCCATTCCTGTTTGCAAGAGATGTATCTCCTCATTTCTGATTTTCTATCTTTCATTTTGCTCTATAAGTGTCTACTCATTTCAGTTGCCCGTTTTCTGATTGGGTCTTTTATTTTTGAGTGATTTCATTTTTTTGAGCTCTTTATATATTCTAGATGTTAGTCCTCTGTTCGAGGTGTAGCTGGCAAATTTTTTTCCCATGCTGTACGTGTCTCTTCGTTATTTGTTTCTTTTTCTGTAGAGAAGCTTTTTGATTTATATAATCCCATTTGTTGATGCTTGATGTTATTTCTTATTATTTCAGAATTAACGTTCCTTGCTTCCATCTAAAACTTCAAGAGTTCTACCTATTTTATCTTCCACCAGGTTGAGTTTTACTGTTTTAATATTAGATCTTTGATCCATTTTTATTTTAGTTTAGTCCATGGTGAGAGATACAGGTCAGGATTCAAACTTCTGCATGTGGACAGCCAGTTTTCCCAGCACCATTTGCTGAAGAGGTGATCTTTCCTCCAGTGTATCTTGTTGGCTGCTTTGTCAAAGGTCAGACAGCTGAATGTGCCCAGGGTTTTTCCACATCCTCAGTTCTGCTCCGCTGCTCCCCATTTAATATGATGTTGCAGTAGGTTTTTCATAGATGGCTTTTATCAGATTGAGGTAAGGGTCTGCTATTCCCATTTTCTTCAGGACTTCTATCATGAATGGATTTTGGATTCATGCAAATACTTATTTAACTTCCTGGAACAGAGTAACTTTTAATGAAATGCGTTAAAGATGAGAGTCTGACTAAAGCCTGAAAGGGAGTTGCCATGGCCACTGGCTGGAGCAGAGGTGATGGGAACTCCAGAGAGCTGGATGGGAACATGAAGTAGAGGTTTGCATCCACTTGTCACTGATCTCATAGGATGTGCTGCTTTGCCTCAGAAATTTCTGTTCAGTAGGAACTGAAGCATGGTGCATTTCAGCAGAAACACTGCTTCTAGACCAGTACGACTTTCCCACAGCCTGCACACGATGTTGAGAAATCCGAAAGTTTGCATAGGCTCCTAAAGGACAAATAAAATGTTCAGAAGAATGTGGAATCAGATGTCTGAGGTCAGAACTAGGAAGATCAGAGCACTGAGCCTTCGTACTCAAGGCTGTAGCAGGGATCATGGATGTTAGCAGTGGCAACTCAGCCATCCTGGATGAACCAGACACAGCAGAAGATGATATGGAAAGAGATACACAAAGGTCAGCACAACATTCCCTCCAAAGACCCACAAGGGTAACAGAGAAAAGCAACACAAGTGGAATTCCCTCCCCAGTGCCCCAAGGACAAGGAGGGAGCAGAGCAGTGGAGGATGCAGAGCAGTGGAGGATGCAGGTGGAGGAGACAGAAAGGTCTGTTCTTGACTGGTCCTGTCCTGGTCACCAAGCAGCTAGCTCTGGGCTTGACAGGGTCTGGCTGACTCTTTGCTTGGGGCATTTCACAGGTCACCCTACCTCTCCCATGCTGGGAACCTCACACCCACCTTGGCACAGGTAATAACTCTCAGGACAACACTGTTGTCTTTGTCTTTGGCTCCTAGTTCTTGACTGATTCATTTTCACCAGACTCTCTGCTCCCCTCTAGGTATCAGTGAGCTAAATTCTTTTAAGAATTTTCTATTTTTATTTCAGCGGCACCTCTCATTTGAGTTTCACAGGGGTGGGGTGGGCACCTCTCCTCTCCATTCTCAGGTGCAATAAAATCTCTCTAAATGGCCTCCTTGAGGGCTTCTCACCAGGCTGGGGTCTGTGGCAGGAATCCATGCGGTGAGGAGAGGACGCATAGCCCAACTCACTCCAAAGACATCCTCTTTCTTTTCTCTCCAGACTTAACTTTTTATGTCTTCAGTGTGGACGAGAAGCTCAAGAGCCTCAAGGCCAGATTTAGAAAATGTCTCCCAAGTGCAGCCCGTGGAAGTTCCATTCCAGGAAGTTTGACGGTATCCTCGGTGTGCTTTCAGTCTTGTGAAAGACCTGACGTGTGCGTGGAGGTCAACTGGAGGTTAATCTAGCTGTGCGCTGCAGGCAGAGATGGCGGAGAGAGCTGGGAAGCCGCCTGTGTCCCCCTCTCGTGTATGTGCATTTCTGTATCACTTTTTTTAAAAAAAGGAGAAACAAAATCATTTTATTGGAAAGAGGAGAGAAACGAGAATATACACAGTAACCTTGCTGGAGTAAGGTAGGGAACCTGGAGCCAGTGCTTGAGGGTCTGGGTTCTTAGCCCCGTTATTAAAGACCAGGAACAGGCTCCCTCTGAAACTCGTTACAACTTGGTTCGCTGTTTCAGGCTCTGACCCCTGATTTGGCCACTCGCCCGCTCCATTGCCTACATGCAAATTCTTGGGTAAGCTCATTAGCCCTTCTTTCTCCTGCCAAGCTGCTGTCTCTAAAACTTAGGATGGGCCTTACCTACAAGGCCAAGTTAGCAGTTAGTGAAGAGTACATGCACATTCTACTGCGGCAACTTGGTAAGAGGATACACATCCCTCTATGTATGAGTATATATTTTGTACACTGAGTGAGCTCTGCAGTGCAGCCTCCTCCTCAGTCTGCCTGCTGTGTACTTAACTGAAGGTAAGAGGGGGAACGGGGCCCTGGCACTAAGTGGGGCCAGGCTGCCTCTCAGTTCTCCTGCTTCTCTGAATTCCTCTCTCTAGCAAAGGTTTTAGGTCTTTCTAGTCACAGTTTGCCAGCAACCTCACCGAGGCCCGTGCCTTTCCCTGCCTGTTCCCTATCTTTCTCTACAGTCGACAGAGTCTCAGTCACTTGGTGAAGTCACTCCCAGCCCCGAAGCCCCACTTCCCCCAGGGCCATCAGGTAGCACTGAGCGGCCCTCACGGGGAGCATGGCAGCCCTGGAACCCGGTCACCGGAAGCCCCTCCACGAAGCCACTCCACCCAGCCCGCTGTGTGACCCACCAGGGACAGGGATGTGACAGTGCTGATGGAAGGCCTTCCGTGCTCATGCCGACGGCCAGTGTGGGAGTGGACTTCGCCAGAGAAAGGGAAGTGAGAGTGGCCCAAGCAGCCTGTGTGATTAAACGGACAATTCGTTTCCTTTTTAAAAACTTTAATGTAATCCAAGTAGACATTAATAAAGAAAATATAAACAGTATGGAAAATAATTTTTCATAACAAAAATAATTAGAAAATAATAATGGTAAATACACTGCGTATCATGATCTTGAAAGAGCATATTTTCAATTGCTAATCTATCACTCAACTCATATCCAAAATTACTATGCCATTTTTTTTTGCATAAAACATTAATTATTAACAAAGTGTCTCACATTCAGTGTAATTTTGAACAATTTCTTCCTTCACAATATCTATTGTATATTTTGGTCCTTATTCACACTTTCAGTTTTTCACCTCAGAGAAACAATGCGGTATTTACACACGTGTGTCCGATTTATTTCACTTAAGAGGATGGCCTCCAGGAGCATCCACATACATAGAAAAGTCTCAAGTTTATCCGTCTTTATGGCTGAATAGTAACCCATTATATAAAGAAAATCACATCTCTTTATCCAATCATCGGTTGATGGGTATTTGGGTTGTTTTCAAGATTTAGCTATTACGAACTGTGCTGGTATAAATATGGGTGTGCATAATTGCTGTGATATGATGCTTTTAATTCTTTTGGGAAGATACACAAAAGGAAGATACCTGGGTCAAATGGGACCTCTAGTCCTAGTTCTTTGAGGAATCTCCATACTGATTTCCACCGTGGTTGTACCAGTCTACACTCCCACCAGCAGTGGAGAAGGGTTCCTTTTTCCCTACACCCCCACCAGCATTACTTGTTGGTTGATTTCTTGATAGCCATTCTTTCTGGGGTGAGGTGGAATCTCAACATTGTTTTAATTTGCATCTCTTGAATGACCAAGGATACTGAACATTTTTTCATGTATTTATTTTCTGTTTCTACTTTTTCATCTAAAAGTGTGTATACATCTCAGATGCCCATTTTTGGATAGGGCCTTTAAATTTGGGGGGAGGGGGTCTAAATTTTTTTTCAATTTTTTATATGTTCTAGGTTGTTTTGTCCAGTTTTCCAAATAATAAATGAAACCTATTTTCTGCCATGTTTTAAAATATATTTGTGATTAAAAAATATTCTCTTCTGTAAGATTTTGAAGAATCCCCTGACAATAGGATTTAGTCTTTAAGCTCTTGAAGGGAAAATACAAATATTTGCCAGTATTTTCTGCGTCCATTTTGGACATTTATACACATACGTAAATCAGCCTTAATGATTTGTGTTTTTCCAGAATCGCCCACTGAAGGAAGTGACGTGACACAAGTCCCACTGTGGAAGGGTCATTGTGGATGCTACTTTAAGGAGTTAAAAAGAGAAGCAAGGAGACTGTGAGGCCACTGCCAGTGCCCAGCTGAGGGATGCCGGTCACACTGGTCAGCGATGTGCCTCGTGGACTGACTGAGGACACGGTAGAATTCACAGTTTTGTCACTGAAACAAATGTGAGGAGAGAGGTGACATTTATTGGACAGGAACGCCGTTTGGGAAGCACGTCTAGAGAGATTAAATTGAGACATGCCAAGCTGCAGATGCCATCAGTCAAGTAGAGATGCCATGTAAGGAGCTGGATTTGTACAATGTGGAGTCCATTGGAGACGCCCAGCCTGGGACCTCCAGAGTACCCAAAGTACTTGGAACCACAAGATGATATGATATTAGCGTTACTGTCTATTCCTGCCATGCCAGACCACAATACACTCAGTGCCTTAACACAACACTAACTTACCATCTTGTAGTTCTAGAGGCCAGAAGTCCAATGCATCTCTGGAATAAAATTAAGGTTACATTCCTTCCAATAGACTCTAAGGGACAATGCATTTTCTGTTCATTCAGGTTGCTGTAATTCTGTTGTTTGCCATTAGAAACTCAGGTTCTTATTTTCCTGCAGGCTGTAAATTGAGGGTCTTTTGTGTAAGAACACCGCATTTCCTTGACCTGTGCTTGCCTTCTTCCATCTTCATGGCCAGTATTGGTGAGTGAAGTCTCTTTCACATCCTATCTCTCTTACTCACTTTTCTGCCTTTTCATCTTCCACTTTTTAAGAACCTAGGTGTGTTAATTACTTTTTTCATTGCTCAGACAAAATACCAGACACCCAAAGTTAAAGGGGAAGACATTTATTTGGCTCACAGTTCCGAGGTTTCAGTCCACAGTCAGCTGGCTCCAAGACAGGGATGGCAAACAGACAACCCACAGGAGAAACAGCACGGCAGGCACAAGGTAGCAAAGGCAACAAGAGGGCCTTTAGGAACATCTCTCTGCCCCCTTTATCTTATTCAGACTGCTGGGACTAGGGGGGTGCCAAACCAGTCACTCGCATGTAGTGGTTTAGCAATCACATGCCCTTTACCCCAGCATCACACATCCCATGTTCAACTGCCTCGAAAAAAGCACGAGGCTTTGGGGGCCATCTCAACACAAGCCATAACATTCTGCCCCTGGCCCCCAAATGACTCAGGTACACTCCTTTATGCAGAAGGCATTTACTCCATCTCTAAGAGTTGCCAAAGTCCTAAGATTTTCAGCATTGCTGAAAAGTCCAAAGCCAAAGTCTTCTCTGAGATTTAAGGCAAACTCTTAGCTGCAAGCCCCTGCACACATGAAAAGAAAGTTAAACTCTTCCTACATAAAATAGCACAAGATAGACATTTCCATTCCAAAAGTTACAAATGGGGGTACAAAGGAATGGGACCAAGGCAAGTCCAAAATCCAGCAGGGCAAACATTAAGTCCTGTAGTTCCATGCGCAGCATCCAAGGCAGTCTGTGGCAAGTTGTGAACTCCAAAGGGCTGGGATGGCTCCACCCCTGCAGCACTGTGGGTGGTTGTAGCTCTCATGGCTTCTCTTTTGGTCCAGCTCTGTTCTATCCTTGCAGTTTTCCTTAAATGTTCCACTCTCCTGGCATCTTCAAACTTCTAAGGTCTCCATTCCACCTTTGGCTTCACACTCACAGCTTCACACACTGCTGTATCAGGGGCACACTGCCTGGCCTCCGAGGGCTTCTTGTGAAATGAGGATGTAAGCCTTCCTGATTCCACATTGTTCCATTCTGCATGCACCTAAAACCCTCACCATGTGGATGATACCAAGGTCGGCTGCCAACTGGACCTATGGCCAGGCTTCCTTCTCTCTTGGCTGTAGGGGCCCAATGCCTATGAACCAAATCCCCTGGAACAACTTTCCTAGGCTGCCACCATTTTGGGAAAATTTCCCTAAGCTGCCACATTCTGGAACACGTGCTCTGGGGCTCTCTTCTCAAAGCAAAATTGTTCACATTTACAACTCTAAGGCTGCAAAGGGTGGAGTCCTGCTGCTTCCTGTGATCCATTCAGGCCATTTTTCTCTTCTCTCGTTCCTTCTCAACAATCAATATCTCCTCTGCTCTATTTTGGAGTACACAGCTTTACTGAAGCTTCCTTTCTGGCCAAACTCAAAACATTTTAAATTATTCTGCTGGGCCCTTTGCTCTTGATTCTCAACATAGATCTGGCTAAAAGCCCCCAACAGTAGCCAGGCCACTGCCTCAATATTTGACTGCCCTGAATTTCTTCTGCAAGATTAATTAGCCCACCGCCCCTAATCTCATTCTCAGGCAAAGTCTCTGGACAGGAACAAAATGCAGACAAACTCTCTGTCAAGGCAGAGCACACATCATCTGGGGTCCAACAGCCAATGCAGTCCTTAGCAGAAACCTCCCTGGCCTGGTCTTTACTGGCCTTCTGGTCTTCTGAACTCTGACCAGAACCTCACCTACAGAACCGCCTAAGGCTCTGCTTCTGTAGGTGACATCTCTGGATCTTTCAACTCTTTTCCTTCCCACAAGCCAGTTCCAAAGGCTCTTGTGTCAGATGGCCAGGTAATGTCACAGCAAAAATCCCACCTCTCTGGCACCAAATTCTGTGTTAATTACTTTTCTCTCATTGCTGAGATGACATACCTGACACTCAGAGTTAAAGGGGAAGAAGTTTATTTGGCTCACAATTCACAGAGGTTTCAGTCCAAAATCAGCTGGCTCCAAGACAGGGATGGGAAACAGACATCCCTCAGGAGAAACAACATGGAAAACACAAGTTAGCAAATGGAACAAGAGGGCCTGAAACAGAGTCTCTCTGCCCCTTTTATCTTCTTCAGACTACTGGGATTGGGGCAGTGCCAAACCAATCACGCTCTGGAGAACTCTCAAGGCATTAAATCTACGGATTATATTCCACTATTTGTAAAATTGTGATTTCTGCTTCCCAAGTAAAACAAATAAGAAAACCACAAGGTTAAATATCACATGGTGTTTCTCATATGAGAAACCCAAAATATGAACAAAGAGCAAAATAGAAGATAGATAATAGGAAAGGGGGAGATAGATCTTTTGCAAATGAGAATGGGACCAAGAGACACAGGGAAAGGGAAGGAGAGAAGGGGCGGGGCCACGGAAACTTCCCAAACACACACACAGCCTGTAAAAAGCCTGCAAGAGGAAGCTGGGGCTCCCACCCACAACATGCAATCCAGACCCCATCCTAAATCCTCCGGGGTGCAGTCAGCATCCCTTTGTAGTTCCATGCCTGGCCCCCGTTCTGAATGACAGACTTGTGACAAAGCAGTGAGGTGGGGTTTCCCCTGCAGAGTCTGTCAGGTAGGTTCTCCTGGGAGCGCTTCTGGAGAGGGGTGCTCGGGGCTATGTCAGTGACTGTGGGAGAACCGTGGCTCGCAGGCATGCGGATCCTGAATGTGCAGGAACAGTGGGGAGCTGTTGGAGAAGTCACAGGAGCAGCTGTGCTCAGGGAGGAATGGCCACCGGGTCAGGCTAATAAGACCAAAGGCACCTGGAGCTGAACCAAAGCCAGAGGAAGGAAGTAGGCGACTGCAGATATCAGGATCAGAGGGCAGGGTGTCCGAGGAGTGTTTGGTTCTCCTGTTTCCTCCAATTAAGTTATCTTCATGGGCTGGCCTGGGAGAACAAGCTTACTGTAGACACTAGTGAGTGGCCCCCTTGCTTCTGGATGTTGTTCACCAATACGCTGGGAATACAAGACAGAGAGTTCTGGGGAAGCTGGGAGTGGGTACGGTGGCCCCAGAGGGACCTGCTTACCATCAGTGTCCATTCCCATGAATGTTTATGAACTCTCCCAAAGCACCCAGCACTACACTAGTCAATTAGAAATGTGCTTAGTTCCTGCTGTTGATATAACGGAAAGGTAGGAACAGTGGGGACAGAAACAGCAGGGGCCTGAGTGGAGGAAGCCCGGGGCTGGGCAGTGGGCGACCTGTGAGTAGCCAGGCTGGCCACCACTCCCACCTCTCACCTTGTCACTTTCTTCAAGAGGGTTCTGTGTCATAATACCCGCATACAATACGTCATCAGTGCAGACCCGTTGGTCCTGCTGCAATCCTGCACCGGAGTCACTGACAGAATGGAGATTGATTTTGTGCCAGGGAAACCAGTAATGCTCCCCCCACCATGAACCCGAGGCCATCATGGTTACAGCCGCTGTCCCCTCTGCAGGACCCACTTCCTGGCAACAAAAGGAGCCAACGGGAGAGAGGGGAGATCTCGGAGCCCAGAAGGGAAATCCAACCTGCATTGTTCCAGCACCATCTTCTTCCTCTTCTCACGAAGCTTCCAAAGATACAGTCCAGCTCCAAGGAGCAAAATCACAGCCACGAAGCCCCCTAGTAAGCCTCCCGTGAGGCCAGCGGTGGACTGTCCAGATCCACCTGTTTCCCACACATTGAGAGGGAGAAGAATGGTTAAGGCAGGAGAGAACTCAAGATAGCAGGCAGGGTGAGCGAGAAGAAAGGCGGAGAAGTCAGAGGGCCTGATTCAGAGACTGAAAGGAGGGAGCATGCAGAGCCATCATTCAACCAGTTCCCCAGCTCCTGCATGGTGCTGGGACGCTGAAATGAACAAGGTAGGCTCGGTGCCCCTGAGAAACTCGGGGGCTACGGGGGAAGGCAGAAAATATCAGCGGCCAGACCGAGGGAGCTCACTGCAGCCGAGGATTAAGGAGGTCATGGGGTAAACTTGCTGAAGAAGGTTACAGGGAAGAGTGGGAGGGTCACAGGTATCAGGGGGACGTGAGAAGTTCTGCAGGGGAGGGGTGGGCAGGAGGCGCTGCAGGTGACCAGGATCACAGGGGGCTAAGAGCTGAATCCAGAGGGAGAGGCGTCATGCTGACTGGAACCGAGCCTGAGCCTCCTAGGCGGGAGGTGGGTGGAGGGTGTAACAGGGATTATAGCTGGCACTGCCCTGAGGGATGCCTGCACCGATACTGGAGGAAGGGCACAGAGGAGAAGACTGCACACAGCTCCCAGATCATGCACTTATTCAATGAAACATCTACTGTAAACTGTAAACACCTACTGTGCTTGGCCAAAGGACCAAAGAGAGAACAAAACTGTGTCCCTGCCCTAAAGGCACTGCAGTTTGGGGAGGATTCAAGTGCACAACCTGACCGATACTGAGTGGCTTGGAAGACTGCGGAGAGGTGAAGCTTTAAAGGCTCTTAGTGGCAGTGCAGTCAGAGGCTGCAGCAGCAGCTCTGTGACGTGTGCCCCTGAGTGCACACCGTGGGCAGACAAGTGTGAGCCCTGTGTCCTACAGGGAGGAACTGGACATCAGATCTGGAGATGAGCCCGGCATACGCCACAGCGTGACCTGCTTTTCCAAAGCCCACTCTGTGGCCACAGTGCGTGACAGATGGGGAGGGAGAGGCACTGCTGCCTGCAGCAGCGGGGAAGGGCTGGGTTGTGAGGGACATTTACAGGCAGGCGTGAGTTGGATGCGACTCCAGACTTCCGCACGGGGTGACCAGGTGCAGGTGGGGATGCAAATGAACCCAGCAGGGAAGAAAGCCTGGAACCCCAGACTGCAGTGCTCCCTGAGCTTCAGGAAGCCCTCCCCTCCAGCAGGGGGCACTGACCTCGTGGACAGATGTCACTGAGGTCTGAGGTGGCTCTGTTCTGGTCCGCGGGGTTGCTGACCACACAGCTGAGGCTCCCATTGGCCTGGCTCAGGGGCAAGCTCACAGCCCGGGTCCAGGGGGTGGGGGCCGGTCCTGGTGTCCCTCTCTGCTCCAGCTCCCTGGCGAGGCCCTTGTTCTCCCAGGTCACATTCAGGTCCTCTGTGGCCCCTGTGGGCCTGCACTCCAGGGTGACATTGCACCATTCTGCTGTGACGGACAGCGACTTGGCCAGGATCTGTGGAGGGGACACTGGCTCTGGGAAAGGGAGGACAAAGAAGAGTCTCACATGTCACAGGTTCTCTCCAACTATCTCACTGCAGCCCATGCAAGTGCGCAATGAGGAAGGGAAGGAGCACTTGACAAATAAAGCACGTTTGCCTCGAGCTAACTGTTGAGCAAGAGACAGTAGCCACTGCCTTAAGCCTTATGTGATTTCCCTACATTAAGCAAATCTGAAAATTTGTCCAAGAGAAAAGGATGGTTAGACCCTCTTCCAGGAACCATTATTTCCCACAAATTGGGGTCTTTTCTGGAAGGGGGAAAGGTCTGGCCCAGCAGTGCTTGTCCTGGTCTCTGCGAGGACACAGCAGAGCTCCATCTCTCAAAGGCAGAGACATCTGTGGGAAGCAGGGGTCGTGGCTGGGGTTACAGCTCTGAGTACAGTTAGATCGTGCCCTGAACCTGTGGTCCAGGCAGGAAGACAAGAGTCAGATTCACCAGCAGCCCCGGGAGACACATGGGACTTCCGGCTGTGGAGGTCGCTCTTGCTAACAGGTGCTGCCCTGTACACAGAGGAGGCCCAGGAAAGGAAGCTGGAGAAGTGGATTTCCTAAGGAGTACAGGAGTCAGTGTAAGCCTCTCCCACAGCCCTCAGGGCCTGGAGAGCTGCAATGTGGAGTCCCGTGGGAGCGAGCCTGGCCTCGGGCTGGTGCTGCATGGGAGGATGGAGGACGGGAGGACCAGGTACACACGCATTCCTCATGTGGCGGGAAACTGGCCCCTGCCACCCATATCCTGGTTCTCAGAGCCTGGGAGTATGGTAGGTGACACGGTGGAGAGCTGACCTTGAGATAAGAGATCCCTGCAGATTGTCTAGGTGGGCCCAGCCTCAGCACTAGGGTCCTTACAAGTGGAAGAGGGACGGAAACGAGCAGCTCTGATGGACACAATGTGAGGAGGACTCAGCCCAGCCAGGCTGGTGCAGGTAGAGGAAGGGGACCAAGCCGAGGACCGCTGGTCACCATGAAGCAGTGGACAGGGGAGGGAGTGGACAGTTTCCCTCTGGAGCTTGGAGAAGGGAGCACGGCCCTGCTGACACCGGGATTTCAGCCCAGGGAGAGTCACGTCTGCTGCTGCTGCAGCACAGCAAGGTAATGCATTTGTGGTGTTGGAGCCAATAATGTGTGTTAATTTACTACAGCATCAGCAGAATATGGATATAAAAATTAAGTCAATTTAGACATATAAAGAGCAATTCATGTTATTGTAAATATTGCCAAATTCCCATTTTCCTCCCCCAAAGCACTGAAGGGATCTTCTCTCTTGTAAACATCTCGGTTTTGCTTTGTATGTTCAACACACCCCACTTTTAGGAGAGAAATGACATACTGGTGGCTGGAATCTAAATAGAATCCTGCAGATTTTCATCTATGAGGCTCCTAGCCTCAAAATAAGGAGGAGGCCATGGGGTTAGGGTGAGGAGGTGTCACTTACCGTAGACCTTGAGGTCGAAAACTTGGTGAAGGTCTTCTCCTGTCATTAACCAACCCTGTGCCATGTACTGCCCACTGTCCTGTGGGCTCAGGTTCCTAATCTCCAGGGATGTCACACTGGGCGTTTGGACCCTTCCTTTGTACTTGTCCTGTAGCTTGAGCAAGGTTGGGTCAACTGTCCTATTGTAGACCCTCAGGATCCCTGTGTGCTCTGACCCAGAGAAAAAGACCCAGGTGATGTCCTCCACCATGGCTCCTAGATCTTTTCCTGGCCACTGGGTCACCTGGAGCAAGACAGAGCCTCCTCGGATCCCCTTCACAAGAATGGGGGCTGCAGAATCTTGAATCCCAGCGCCATGATCTCCAGAGACCCGGGCAGAATAACTCCAGACACCTACGACATTGAAAGGGGGAACATGAGTATTTCCTCAGCGAGAGGCAATGAGAGAAACTGAGGGCTTTTCTTTTCCATCAGTCCCCCCAGTGTATTCCTTGATTTTCACAAGGCCCCAGCAGAGCCATGGAAGCCATTCTGGGCCTGAGCTGGATCTTCGCAGTGGGGCCCGGATGTCTCACTGACCCTGGCTGGCCTTCGGGGGTTTCCTGCCTTGAAATGGCAGTGTGAAGGGAACGACCTTGCGGATCCAAACCACCAAGCACACCACTGGGCCCCGGTTAGTGCCTGACTGTAGGAGGCAGCTTCTAAAGCAGCTCCCCAGGCCCCCCTCCTCCTGTGCACCCCGTGTCCAGTCCCCTCCCCTGCAGTGTGCACTGCACTGAGAGACTGGCTCTGAGGTGCAGAAAACAACAAGATGGCCAGAGGTCACTGACTGCATCCACAGAGGACAGGCACAGCTCCTGCTGGCTCACGCTGGCTCCTGTCCTTCCCTGCCTCCTGCTGGCTCTGATGGAGTCAGCTGCCCTGTCGTGAGCTGCTCGCCATGTGGAGAGGTCCCCATGGGGAGGTGCTGAGGCAGACTCCGGGCTACAGCCAGCCAGCCACGGGGTCTCCTCCTGGCCACGGTCCACCCATGGTGCCCGGAGCTGCTCCTTCCTCATCCACCCTCGAGAGGTGACACCAGCCCACGCCTGGATCTCAGTCTGCAGGACCAGGTCAAGAAGGCCCAGCTGAGCCGCACATGGGCAGTGACCACCTCGACCCCGAAACTGGCAGTGGAGGATTTGCTTTAAGGCAGAAAGTTATGGGGCAATAGGTTCCTCCACGTAGACAACTAAGACAATAACAAGTATTTTCCTCTCCCCTCTGTCGAGGGAGTACATAGTTAGGGTGGGCTAGGTGTGATGTAGTTATAGTTCCACGCTCTGTCTGGAGCACACTGTGTTCCTCAACTGAGGGAGGGGTCTTGTCTCAGCGGCTCGGGCTCCACCCCCTTGAAGCCCACAGCAGCCTCTCAGCCTCCCCAGAGGATGAGAAGTGTGGCACACACTTGTAATCCCAGCGTTCTGGAGGCCTAGGCAGGAGGAGCGCCATGAGTTCAAGGCCAGCCTGAGCTACATTGTGAGTTCAAGTCCAGATTAAACTCCATAGCAAGACCCTGCCTCAAAAAAAAAAAGAAAAAACAAAACCCACACTAACATATCCCGCACCCAGAGAGCACAAGTGTTCCCTTTTCCATATCCTCACTAGTGCTTCTGACCTTTCCTCTTCAGGGTAGTACCCATTGCAACAGGAACAAGGTGGTTCCTCATTGTGGTTTTAATCTGCATTTCCCTGATGATTAGATATTGAACATCTTTCATATATATGTGGCCCATTTATTTCTCCTCTTTTGAGAAATATCTGTTCAAATATGTTGCTCATCTTTAAATGGGGTTACTTATGTTTTTTGCTATTGGGTTGCTTGTTTTCCTTAAATATTTGAACATTAGTCCCGTTCAGAGGTACAGTTAGCAAATAATTTCTCCCAAGCCAAGGGTTTTCTCTTCATTCTATTGTTTCCATTCCTGTGGAGAAGCATTGTAGTTTGATGCAATCCCTTGGTCAATTTTTACTTTGATTTGGAGTTCTAGCCAAGAAATCATTTTCCAGATCAATGTCTTAGAGCTATTCCCTTAAGTTTTCTTCTAGAAGCTTTATATTTCAAGTCTACATAGTCTCAAGCCTTTGTTCATATTGAGCTGGGTTTTGAATGCACAGTGAGATGCGTGTCCAATTTCATTCCTGTGCATGTGGAGATCCAGTTTTCCGAAAGGTTCTACAGAAGAGATGGTCCTTTCCCCCACTGTACTTTCTTAACACGTTTGTGAAAAATCAAATCGACTGAGTGTAAATGCTTGGATTTCTTTCTGGCCTTTTATTTTGTTCCACTGGGCAATATGTCTATTTTCATGCCTATTCCATGCTGTTTTATTACAGTAACTTTATAATCTACTTTGAAACCATGGAATGTGATGCATCTGGCTTGGTTCTTCTGTTTTTGTTCTTTTCAGTCTTTTCTGATTCCATACCAACTACTGGCTATTTCTTTATATTTCTATGAAAAATCCCATTTGGAATGTTGATTGTTATTCCACAGAATTCAGGACAGCTTGTTTGTCCCTGGGCCAAAGTATTACTTTCATGAAATCCAATGTGTCAATTTTTAAAGAACTTATTGGTTATGTATCTTGCTTTAAACGAGAGTCCTCACTTCAAAAAGGTATGCTTTTTTGTTTTCTCTAGTTTTCTCTCATACTTTCATGGTTTCAATGCTAATGTTTAGTCTCCAATGCACCTGAGATTTGTTTTGGTGTCAGTTAGCTGACATAGTTTGATGGTGCATTAGAGCAGTGGCAAGAATGGAGTCAGTGAGATCCTATGTGAGTCCAGGTCCTCCCTCTTCCTGCAGTGTGAACACGAGCAGTCATTTAATCCCTCTGGCTTCAGCTTTCTCATTTATTAAGTGGAAACAGTGCAGTGCCATCGAACCTATGGCACATGTGCTGCAGTGGGCACACAGAGCCCTCTCTGTCTGCACCCGAGCCAAGTCGGCCTAGCATCGCCCGGGCAGGGGAGCATTGGATAACAGCGCATACAGGGGCAGTGTTGGCTCTTGTGATAAATAAGTGGGTTTGAGGCTGCAGTTTTGGCACTCGGTCTCTAAAAGATTCGTCATTGTGAAAATAGCGTGTACTTCAGTGAACTGTTCTTTGGATTTAAGCAGGGAAAGACTTCCAGCACAGTATCCAATAATTGTTTCCCTTAATCCAGCCACTGTCATCATCACCTTGAGTATCACTGGACCAACTATACCTGTGTCAGAACCAGAGCTTCCCAGGTCCCGGGCTGGTGTGGTTTCCTCACCACCACCTGCCCTTCTCAGGGTCCCCTCCTGAGCACGGGGATGGGACCCAAGGAGTATAATAGGCTGTGGGTCAAGTCCATAGTGCCTTGAGTTCAAGGTCCAGCCCTAGTTTGTGTGCTCACCAACACCTTGGGTTTAGAAGGAAATTCACGGATCTGTGCACATGGCAATCACCAACTCCCATGTTACCGAGTGCCTGAAAACGGCTGTAGGCTGGGGGAGGGTGGAAGAAAGGACTTCTTATCCCAAGCTGCAGCTACAGTTTTCTAACTGTATATCATTAACTCTATTCGGTTAGCCCATTCCCCCTCTCTTTAGTGGGTAGTCTTACAATAGAAAAGTACTACACATCACACTGAGAACAATTCCATAAGTTGTTGAGTTCTTCAAGTCCACGTTCAAAGTGCACCTCCTCTGAAAGTCAGCACTGCAGATGACAGGTACCCAGAAATGCCCCGGACCTGTGTGGCCCAGAAGCTCTTTGTAAAGGGTTTGCTCCATGGCTGCTGGGCTGAGCAGGGCCCTCTTGATTCTCCCTTTGCACCAGTTCTCGCACCTTGTGGTTCCTTTGATAATCAATGAGAGGAACAGAGTAAGAGTAGCAGGTAACACCTTCCGTTCTGAGTTTATCACACGCTGAAATGTAGTTTCCCACTGAAACCAGCAATAAAACTGGAACTTCCCCATTTCTAAAAACCTGATACCAAGCTGTTTTTCAGGAAGCAACCACAGACCCTGAGAGCAGAACCAAACCAAAAGTCTGCAAGAGGCCGGACCAATGGCTGAAGAGCCCTACAGACTCGGATTAGAAGCTGGAGCGTGGTTCACAATGGGAAGACGGACCGAGTAGTGGAGAGACCGGAGAGTCCCAATGACAACATGTCCACAACTTCCACAAGGCCCAGTGTGGGTGACGTAGACTATGCCACTGAGAGTCCCTGTGACAGCCCGCAGTGCTCTCCTGCTCCTCCCCCAGCCCAGAAAATCCATCCCCACCCACACATTCTATGGGGAAGCAGCCCTGTGCCTGCCTTCTGGCTCCTGTTCTAGGCATCTGCCAGAAAGCTCTCCCTGCAAACACGAGCAGCGCCATAGCATTGTCTCCAGGTCCAAGGCAGGAAGCCCCGGGGGACAACAGTGCAAACACAGACTGCAAATACAAGTGAACTCTTCAGTGCAGTGCTCAGAGAAACAAATCTCTTTTCCAGGGGGGAAAGAAGCCAGCTGGACTCACTAAGAGACAGTATCTCCAATCCAAAAGGGTACCTTCCTCGGGAATTCCAGGGAGCATTCTGGTCAGAACAAGGTTTGCTGCCCTCCCTGCCAACCCTGCCAGAGGATCACCCAGACAACAGCCAGTGACTTCTGTCCCTGCACAGACAGGACCTGCAAAGGCCTGCCTGAGGCTTTCCTTAGCTGCTTCTAACCAGGGTAACGGTGCAGCCTTCCAAGCCTGGTTTGTAGACCACGTTTGCAGAGGCTGTGGGAAGGGATGAGATGTCCCTGGGTAGGGAGCCTGTGGTCACAAGCCCTGAGAACCCCTGGGACCTCAGGTGGAGAGGGCTGAAGAGGAGAATCCCTCTCCTGCACTGGGGACTGAGAAAGTGGCCACAGGGACAACCCACCTTTCTTCAGGAAGACTGCAAACGTGTAGAAGTTAAAATGGCTTTTAAATGTAAAAAGTTTTGCTTTTCTCTGCTGGTTACAGGAAGGGCCTTAGGGATAACCTGTCCGTCCAGGCCCTTCCTGTTACACAGGAGAGGGGTCTGCAAGAAAGCAGACCTGTCTGGGGCCTCAGAGGGCAGAGCTGGACACTGAGCCCAGGACACCACCCCTCAGCTCTCTGAGCTTCTCCCCTCTGGAGTTCACCCTCCCTGCACTGCCTCCCAGCAGCTGCTGCAGTCTCATCCTCCTACTGTGTCCCCCTCTGGAGGGCAAACCAGGTGCTTGGAGTGGCTGAGCAGAATGGAGACATCTGCTGCCTAAGGGTTAAAGAGCCAGCCCGTCCAGATCACCCACTTCCTAGACTAGGAGAGGAGTGTTAGGCAGTTAAACATTAGCAGGCTAGAGATACATAGGGAGTCCAGCAGAGCACGTCCCGCCAGTGACAGTAAAGAAAGTATAACAGATTTATAATCAATTTGTTCCTCTCAGAATCAAAGCAATGACAGAGCACAGTGAAAATGTAAGGTTATACATTGAGCACATTCATTATGGCCCTAAGCTGCCTCTTTCTGAAACAAGACACACAGCATTCCTGGTCACCACAGCCTGTGGCCCAAAGATACCAGAAAGGAGAACATTCTTTCAAGACCCTCTTGCCTTGGGCTGGGACCTGAGTATGAGAAGGTTTCTTTCTTAAGTTTCTTAAGTGACTAAGTCCCTTGAGGGAACACTGGCTATGTGAAAAGAACCAGGAGGACATTTGTGAAATATCAACATCCACAGTAACCTGGATGAAAACTGTCCATGGAGATAAAGCAATGGCGCTCACCCTGATTCCCCAAAGCCCAGGGTAACTCTCCTGTTTTCAAAAATATCAGAACTCCCTCAGGGCGGATGCCTTCGGACACAGCCCTGCTTCTCTCTGAAGCCACCGTGCAACATGCTTCAATATGGCTGTTGGGTCCCGAATTGATGAGGACCTCCTCTGCTTTTCAAGGGTTGGGGCGGGAACAGTGATGAGAAAGAAAGTCCCAGCCCAGGTCTCAGGACTGGAGCAGCAGTTCAGGGTGGCGGGAGAGGGGGCTTCCCCGGGAGGTTAAAGGCTGCTTCTCCCAGTTCTCATCCTGCCCAACTCCCACGCATTGCCGCCTTCTAAATCAGCACGGAGGTGGAGTGCAGAGTGCGCACAGGGCTGTAAAATGCACCTGAGCCCCAGCCGGGTCCAGGAGGGCCACACTCTCTCACTAGAGAAGTCCCGGGAACCAGACCCCAGCAGCTTCCTGCAGCTCAGGCCCCAGGGAGCTCGTGCAGCTGTGTCCACAGCACAGCAGCACAGGTGCTGAGGATCTGCTCAGTTCCAGGCCAGGGGCAACGTGTCCTTGCCCCGTGCCCCTCGGTCTGGCTTCTCACTTTGTCTCCGTCACTCTCCACAGGCCGCTCCTGCCTCTCCCTGCTGAGAGCCATAGGCGGCCGCACTCCCTGGTCAAGATCCTTGCGTGTAGACAAAGCTGCCCTAGCTCAGGATCCCCAGCCTCATCCACACCAAAAGCCAGTTTCTCCTCGCAGCTTATCCAGGGCTCTACCTAGCATGCCGCATTCTTAATCTTAGCAGAGAGATTTTCCATTTTTGTCCCCAAAGACTTCAGAGGCCAATAGCCTTCGAGACTGAAGGAGCCCAGCTGTGCCAGTGCCTCCCAATTGCCCTCCCTTCCAGGGTCCCGGCAACTCACTGATGAAACTGAGGACTCCTAGGAGCCACGAGGCCCAGCAGAGACGGGGGGCTCTTAGGCCGGGGCCCATCACAGCTGTCTGCAGCTCTGCTCGGCTGCACAGAAACTGCAGAGGGAACAGGCAGGAAAGGAGGAAGAGCTTAACACTTATATGCTAACCCCCAGGAGGCGGGGCCGCAGGTCAGCACTAGCAAGCCCAGGACACACAGACGCTCAGCTCTTTCCTCCCAGTACAGAGAATACCCGCACCATGCGTAACTGCAGTCAGCGAGCGCGCACGCCCCGGCTCCAGCTCGGCTCCGCTGGGTCCACACCCTCAAGCACAGAGCCGGCTGTCATTCCCACACAGACATCCACACTCCTGCCCCTCGTTCACCTGCCCCTGGACGCACAGCTCTGCCTCTGGCAGTGCCCTCCCCGCTGGCAGCCTGTGGCCGGGCACAGACACGCATTCTCCCAGCAGGCCTGGCGCGGTCCTGTGGATCTGGAGAGACCTCAAAGCCTCTTGGGCTGAAGGCTTGGTCCCCAGCAGGCAGCGCTGTTGGGAGGTGATGGGAGCTTCAGGAGGTGGGGACTAGCGGGAGGCAGATGTCGCCAGCGGCATCTTGAAGGGTGCATTGATTGGCGACCTGGATTCGTTCTTCTCTCTCTCTCTTTCTCTCTCTCTCTCTCTCTCCCTCCCTGTCGCCCCACCCCCACCCCTTCAGCCCTGTTCTTGAGCTGAGCCGGTTTTCTCCACCGAATATGCCCACCATGCTGTTTGCCTCACCCGGAACCCAGAACCAAGCAGCCAGGTGAGCACAGACTGAAGCCTCTGAAACCGTGAGCCAAAATAATCCTTTCTCAGACAAGTTGTCACAGTGACAGAAAGGTGACCGACACCCAGCCTAGGCCCTCCTGAGTTTGTTGGTTTTCCCCTCTCCCCATCCCAATCAAAGAGTCAAATTTCCGTTCTGATTTTCTAAGAATTTCTTCACCTGTCAGTAGCCTAAAGAAGCAGCTGGGGCAAAACCAAAGCTGAGGGGTAACCCTGACCTCCAGTGCAGGTGCCGGTGTTTTCCTCGGCTGGAAGCCTCATGGGTCCTCAGCTTCCACTGACACCCACCAACCTTTCTCCACACTCAGACAGAGACAGGAGTGGACAGACCCCTGGTGGCATTGCAACCAGCAGCTTCCTTTGGGCTCCTGCTGGCCCCGTCTTGCCGCATGGAATGTGGGGGAGAACCCACGCTCCCAGCGCAGTGCAGCTGACTCAGCCTCACCGCCTCCCGCTTAGCCTCTGCTCCAGGTTCCCCCTCATGACCTGCACACCCACTGGTAGGAAATTGTTCCCCTCTGTTCTGCTGTGGCATCAGCAGCCCTTCTCCTCCCTTGCAGTTCCCTGAGGCCACCCCGGTGGAACAACCTAAGCCTGGCCCTGCATGCAGGCCCGGCCAAGAGCCTGCAACCAGGCCAGTCGGTCTCTGCCTTTAGGCCATCTGAGGCTACGAGGCAACCTAGAGGGGGAATTGAGGCACAGCAAGGGGGCGCGAATTGTTGATTCAAACTGAAGTGAGAATGACCCCCCAGGAGTCAGGGATTCTCATTGTCCAGAGTCAGTGCCCTGACTGGCATCGGAGGGGTTCACTTTATAGATTAAAAAGAGCAAGGGTTAGGGTCGGGTATGTAGCTCAGGGGTGCTGCGCCTGCCTGGCAAGCACAAGGTCCTGAGTTTGATCCTCGGCACAAAACAAAAGATTAATCAAAAAGAGCCAGGTTGAGGGTCCAGCAAACCCTTGTCAGTCACACTTGCTTTGAATGATGCGAATAACAAACACGGGCCGGCCATTGACTGGGTGTTGCTCACTTGTGTCAGGCCTTTTGTCTTCCAGGTCAGAATTACACTGAACTGGGGCTGTGTATGTAGCTCAGTGGTGAGCATTTGCCTGGCATGTGTGAGGCTCTGGGTTCCATTCCCAGCACAGTACATATAAAAACTTAAAGAAATTCAGGAAGTAACACAAAGCATTGTGCAGTACCGGCCTGCCCCAGGTGAAAGAACTTTGTGACCTCACTCGTGTGATTTGTCCACCATTTCTCGCACCCGAGTCCTAGAGGGTTGAACAGCCTGAAAAAGGTCACATAGCAAACCTGGCGCAGGTCTGAATCATGAAACAAGGTCAGGAGTGAGCCCAGCCTCCCAGTGCTCTTCCCTCCCACTCTGCTCTGTGGCCTCCAGGAGCCCCTGGACTGCAATCTGTGACACTCACCTCCAACTGCTCCTTGGTGGCCTAGATGAGAGGATGCTGGACACCAGCTCTGTCCCCTTTCTGCACCCCAGGTAGAGGACGCAGGCGGTCCCTGAGTCCTGCGGGCGAAGCTTTTGCAGTGGAGACCAGATCGGGGGATCAGGCACCAGGCCTCAGCACCGCCATGCCACGCCCCCGGAGCTCTGCTGAGCGGACTTCTCCTGGGAGCGGCTTGCCTGTGAGCAGGATTTGTGTGAGGGGAGGCCAGACAGCCTGCAAGGAGGAAGCAGGGAGCGGCTGGAACTGAGGATCCGGGGCTCAGCCAAGACTTTCCAGGCTGGCAGGACGCCCGGAGCTTCTTAAAGCTCCAGGAGCCTAACTGCATTTTCAGTGGCCAGCCAGGAAGCGCAAAAAGTTTATTAGACAAACCTGCCCAGTGCTATTGATGTTGTAGGGATGTGAGGAAGGTACAAAAGACGTGTGTGACCCCAAGGTCTGACGAGGAGGGAATCAACAGGTCTGGGGAGAAAGGGACCCGGGAAAACAAGAGGTAAGAGTAACCTTGAGAGTGCCAGAATGCGAGAACCGATGGAAATTGCACTACAAGCTCTGGACGCCTTTGGGACCTGAGGCTGGTGAGGTACGAGCTGCTCCCCAGACCTGAGAGGGGGGTTACAGGAAGAAGGTATTCACTGAACATCTCCTGTGCGCTGGGCCTTTTACCTGTGCTATTTCAATTGATTCACATCATAGGCTGAATTAAATCGAAAAACAACTCTGTTGTGTAAGATGTGTAGGGGAACATCCTGAATGTCCCCAGAGAGCAAAGAGCTTGGGCGCGGTTTTATTTCAGGAAGAAGAAAGGATCTAGAAAACTGTGGCTCCTGTGGGGATGTCAGTCGCAGGCCGTGGGGAGACCCTCTGCTAATGTCTGCCGTCGAGTCCGGAAGGAGCAGGGCCCAGCCAGGCAACTTCCAGCCAAGGTCGACTTGACTCCAACTAAATTGTTTCCCTCTGAATTAACCATTTGTTCTCTTCAGCAAAGATAGGCCAGTGCCTCCCTTTCCCCGTCCTGCCTGTGACACTTCACTCTTGCTGGGTGTTCTCCTCCCCTCCTTCCCGCACTTGTACTGAATAAACACGGATGTCTTTGGTGCCTTTTGTCTTTGATGCCCAGAGCAGCTTAAGATCAGCCCAAGACCCAGCTTTCTCTAGGCCTTGCCTCTGTTTTCTGTTCTTGTCAACTCCTGCCCTGTTGTGTCATAGGTGATTGAAACCCACTGCAGGGGTCATCTTTAATGCCCTGCCCCCTAGTGGTAGGAAATGCGGGAACATTTTTTGATAAGATTCCTCTGTGGAACTGTTCAGCAACCCTGAAACTTAAGATTTTGTTGACTTCCCTCTAAGCCATAACTCAATTCATTTTGCCTGAGACAGACATGAGTCTTTTGGGGACAAAGGGTGGAACAGTACAGTGTAAGCTAAAATGCCCCTCAAAAGTCTCATGTGTTTGGAAGCTGACTGGGCAGCAGTGGCAATGTGCTCCTCTGAGGAGCCGTCCACTGATGAGTCCAGTGGATAAGCGTGCTGCGAGCATGTGAGGCCTGGTGGGAAGTGGATCCTCGGCTGCCTTTTCCTTGGCTATGGCCCTCTGCCACCCTGCCCTGCCTTAGAGCCAGTCAACCACAGACTAGAACTGTGAGCCCAGTACACCTCTCCTCCTCTCAGCTGTGGGCGCCAGGTGCTGTGTCTCAGGGATGGGAAAGCGAGCAAGACATGAAAGTCTCGGGACCTGGGCAAAATACCGACAAGGCCTGTTTGCCCGAATGTAACACGCACAGCCCGCAGCCCAGTTCCCAAGAGTCCCCACCTGAAACCCCCCGAGCCTTGCCTTCCCTCTGTGCGCTGGCTGCGCTGGCATTCAGGGCTTCTGAGCTGCAATCAGAAATACCCACTGGACTCTGCTCATCACCTTCCAGGGCTTCTCCAGCTCACAACTCCTACCCTTCCAATTCCTCCCCTTTTAAACTGTTCCAAATGCACCCGGACAACAAGTCAAATGCAGTCCCAGAAAGGACTCCACCTCTGGTCCCAGTTTTCCATAGTATTTTGCTGGGACCAGTACCTGACACCACAACCTAAGCAGGACAGTGTTGTTTGGCTCACAGTTTCACGAGACTCAGGCCCTACTCTAGAGCAGACCCACCATGGCAGATGGGCAAAGCTGCTCATTTCATGGCAGCTGGAAGCAGAGCAGGTCAATAGTTCCAGAGAGGACAGGGCCAGGTGTCAGACAGAGTACCCCATGTTACACTTCAGCAACTCACCAGACACACTCAGGAGTGTGCTTTCCTGAGCTCCCCACCCGTTGTAAAGTTGATGAACTCACAGTCCATCCTTAGTGCCACATAAAGTTCCAGTGGGGTTCTCACTAGAAACAGTGCAACCCAGGACACAGAGGAGCAGCAGCTTTACGGAAACAAGTTCTAGCAATCATCAGCCCACAATCAGTGCTCAATAAACATGTCTTCCCAAACAAGGTGAAGCTAGTCTTTCTCCTGTACAAAAGTCAAAAAATGTATTAGCACCAGATGTTCCTATTAGAAGTGTTAAAATGGGTCCTTTATTCAGAAGGAAAACAATTCCAAAAGGGAAAAGGTGTGTGTGAAGGTCGTCCTTCCCCACACCTCTGAGCACCATGGAAATGACAGGGACCTGCCAGGCCCCGGGGAGGAGCAGGCCAGGGCCTGGGACACTCTCCTGCCTGACAGATGTTCTTCCACAGATGCCCATCCCCTGGCCCTCTCTATACTCAAATGCTAGGGCCATTTGAGACCCCGAAGGGGTCCAGGAGGGCTGAACACAGAAGGAAGCCGTGTGAGAAAAACACATCTGCACACACAGAGTGGAGAGAGCTAATTTCTATGATACATCAAGAGCTCCTACAGATAAATAAGATTAACAGGGAGATAAAAAATGAAGAGACACAATGAGTCAGAAGAAGAGCTACAAATGGCCATTTAGAGTTTAATTATTTTTATTATTGAGTTATACTGTAATGTCTACTTCTATGATTTAATCAGGAAGAAATGCTTTGCATTTACATCAAGACACATTTACTCTAGTGGAATGAAACAGACACAGACAAAAGACCAAGTACATGTTTAAAAAAATGACTACATGTTTCACCTGGTTCTACTTTTGCTATTTTGGACCA